GATTTTTTTTCCTGCTAGTTTTGGGTTTACTGTTTTTTTTGTTTGTTTCTTTTTTTCAAGATCCTTGAGATGCATTGATAGCTTAATTATTTGGCACCTTTGTGCCATTAAAGAACTTATGTTGTGTAACACATTTTTCTCTACATTTGAAATGATGTTAATTTATGTGATATTATGTAAAGAATGTGGCAGAGCTTTAAATACTTTTCTTTGCCTGAACATATATTTTAGAATATGTTGGAAAAACGAGGTTATCTTTGTAGTTTCTACTTTCTTTTGTTTCCTTTTTAAGCAAGAGACCATGAGGCTAACTGCTGTTTAATTGTTTGATGCTTTTTCTTTTAATGATTTATTAAATGAGATAGTTTTTAATTTGTAAAAGAATAGGGATTCATTCTATGTGTTACAGTTCTGTCACCTTGCTAAATCAAGGCTTGAAAGAGGCTGAATTCACAGAACAGTTTCTTTGAACTTCATAAGTCTCTCTCTGCAGTAATTTCTGATACCAGCAATACTCCTCAGCTGAGTGATGTGTCTGTTGGGAACGGAACTTCTATTAAAACACTTGACTTCGAAAAATACATGTTAGGGGCCAGCCGTGAGGCATATTGGATTAAGTTGCTGTCTGCAGTGCAGCCATCCCATATGGGCACTGGTTTGAATCCTGGCCGCTCCACTTCTGATCCAGTTCTCTGCTAATGTGCCTGGAGTGGTGGAGGGACAGCAGAGGATGGCCCAAGTGCTTGGACCCCCGAACCCACATGGAAGACCTGGAAGAAGCTCCTGGCTTCGGCCTAACCCAGCCCTGGCCATTGCGGCTGTTTGGGGAGTGGACAGATAGATGGAAGATCTCTCTCTCTGTCTCTCCGTATCTCTGTAATTCTGACTTTCAAATAAATAAATCCTTAAAATAAAAAATAACTGTTAGAGTTCATGTTCTTAGGAAGTACTTTAAACTCTGACACTCTTCTCTTTTGGATTTTATAAAAAGATGTAAGATGTTGGTATTTTTCTGACAATAGACTGTTGTTTTTTACCGCAGCTGTTTTTAGCTCTTTTTAGCAGCCAGTTAAATGAGGCTGTGGCCAAGATAATAAACCTGGTATATCTCATTGTAACTGTTTATTGTAAAGAACAACTTACTAGAGGAAAGTTCTTAGAACTTATCCAGTAATGGTATAAAATTGAAGGTTAACGTAATATTTAGCTCCTTCCATTCTGTATTCTCACTAAATGACTATATTCGTATTTGTGTCTTTACTTTTATGTATGTGATCATGTCCTCCACATTCATATCTCTTTCTTGAATGTTTCTGGACAAACCTCTATCATTGCATTTAGTCTTTACTGTTTTGTAGCTACTGATATTATTACTTTCCTATCTCTGAATAGTTAGTTGGTAAGGTCCTTGAAGGGAGGGCTGTATTGAATATTCTTCTGGCCTCCAAGTGTGATGTACAGCATATTATTTTAATCCTGTTGATGGTTGGTGTTAGAGTTTGTTAGTGCTGTTCTACTTTAGGTTTGGGGTCTCAGTTTAAGCCTGTGTTGTATTCCTGGGCAGTTCTGCCTGTTTTCCCCGGTACTAGAAAATCGGTTGCTGAAATATCTATCCCAGCTGTTGATGTCCACTTTCCTTTTGAATTTTCTTCCTCCTTATGTGTATACTGTTTCAGGATTACAAACTCTTCCAGAGCACATTGTACGTGGGCTCACTTCCAAATGGTTTCTTCCTCTTTGGGCTATAGTGCCTTCAAGTATTAAGCATTTTAGCTTTCTTAGACACCAGCTTGTCTCTTTAGCCCATTGGAACTTCTGCTTTCTGTTCCCTGGCTGTGATTTGGCACATATGCCTGAAGAAAAAACCAGGATAAATGTGGAGCTCACTTTATTCAGCTTCCTTTCTATTAAGGATAATAGCCTCCTCAGGTTCTTTCTGTATTGCTTGTTTTCCAGTACCTTTCAGCAGTTTTATGTAGTTCTTTCATGTTGACACTGGTGAAAGACAGAGTGTGATATGAGATCCTTGGTTATGGCTGGTTCATGTATGTATGTGCATGTGCACTAAAAAATTTGTTTTTTGTTGAGGTCAAATTCATGTAACACAGTTAGCTGTTAAAAATACATACTTTGGGGCTGGCGCCGTGGCTCACTAGGCTAATCCTCCGCCTGAGGCGCCGGCACACCGGGTTCTAGTCCCGGTCAGGGCGCCGGATTCTGTCCCGGTTGCCCCTCTTCCAGGCCAGCTCTTTGCTGTGGCCAGGGAGTGCAGTGGGGGATGGCCCAAGTGCTTGGGCCCTGCACCCCATGCGAGACCAGGAGAAGCACCTGGCTCCTGCCTTCGGATCAGCGTGGTGCACCGGCCATAGCAGCCATTGGAGGGTGAACCAACGGCAAAGGAAGACCTTTCTCTCTGTCTCTCTCACTGTCCACTCTGCCTGTCAAAATATACATATATGTATATATACACACACACATACTTTGGGGCCAGCATTGTGGTGCAGTGTGTTAAGCTGCTACTTAATGATGCTGGCTTCCCAAAATGGAACACGTAATTGAGTCCCAGCTGCTCTGCTTCTGATCCAGCTCCCTACTGATGTGCCTGGGAAACCAATGGAACATGGCCCAAGTGCCTGGGCTCCTGGCTGCAGCCTGACCCAACCCTGGCCATTGCAGTCATTTGGGAGTGAACCAGCAGCTAGAAGATCTCTTTCTCTTTTTCTGCCATTCAGATAAATAAAATCAATCTTAAAAATGATGCTGCTTAAAAGTAAATAAAAATATATACGTTAGTGGCATTTAGTACACTGACAATGTTATGTGGGTATGTATTTTTAATTTGTAAACATGAGGCTGCACTATAGCTAACTCTTGTTTTGGTCTCATTTTACTTAGCAATATGTCCTAAGAATTTTTCCCTGTTAATTTCTTGTTCATTATTTATTTTTCTAGTCCTGGCTGGGGCACCAGATTCTGTCCCGATTGCTTCTCTTCCAGTCCAGCACTCTACTGTGGCCTGGGAAGGCAGTGGAGGATGGCTCAAGTGCTTGGGCCCTGCACCCGCATGGGAGACCAGGAGGAAGCACCTGGCTCCTGGCTTCGGATCGAGTGCAGTGCGCTGGCCATTTGGGGGGTGAACTAATGGAAGGAAGACCTTTCTCTCTGTCTCTCTCTCTCTCTCACTGTCTAACTCTGCCTGTCAAAAGAAAAAAAAAAGATTTATTTATTTATTTATTTGAAAGAGCCACAGAGAGGCAGAAGCAGAGAGAGAGAGAGAGAGAGAGAGAGAGAGAGAGAGAGGGAGAGGTGTCTTCCATCTGCTGGTTCACTGCCCAGACAGCCACTATGACTGGAGCTACACTGATCTGAAGCCAGGATCCAGGAGTTTGTTCTGGGGCTCCCACATGGGTGCAGGGGCTCAAGAATTTGGGCCATCTTCTGCTGCTTTTCTAGGCCATAGCAGAGAGCTGGATCGGAAGTGGAGCAGCCGGGACTCGAACCAGCGTCCATATGGGATTCCGGCACTGCAAGCAGCGGCTTCACTCAGTAAGCCACAGCCGGGACTCAAATTGGCGCCCATGTGGGATGCCAATACTATAGGTGGCAGCTTTACACACTATGCCACAGCGTCACCCCTTGTTCGTTATTTTTAACTGCTACATAATATGCATGCACTTATCTTTCTTTCTTGTGATGTCTACTCTTTCTCCAATTCCCTGCTTTCTAGGCTATGTTGAGTTAGTAAGGTGTTATTCTTGATTCCATTTTTCCTAAGCAAGTGGATTATGTAGAGGCCTTTCTTTGAAAATTGTTTTTAAATATTACTTGTTTGGGTCATTATTTATGACCTGGAGGAATTGGCTTTTGGAAATTCATAGGGACCAGCATTGTGGCGTAGCAGATTAAACCATGGCTTGCATTGCTGGCATCCCATATGGGTGCTGGTTTGTGTCCTGGCTGCTTCACTTCTGATTCAGCTCCTTGCTCATGCGCCTAGGCAAGCAGTGGAATATGGCTCAAGTCTCTTGGCCACTGCACCCCCATGGGAGACATGGAAGAAGCTTCTGGATCCTGGCTTTGGCCTGGCACAGCCCTGGATGTGTGGCCATTTGGGGTGTGAACCAGTGGCTGGAAGATCTCTCTCTGTCTCTTCTTCCCTCTCTATAATTCTACCTTTCAAATAAATGTCTTTAAAAAATTAACAGTAAGAAATTCTTAATTTTTTTAAACTGTTTTAGACCTTAAAGTTCTCCTACCCAGATCCATTTTGATTCTAGTCTAACTTCTTGATCAGATCTAACAATCTCTGAACACTGTTTTGTCAGATAAAGGCCTGGTAGCACTATCTACTGTCTCTCTTGATGGCTTGATTGCATGTATAAGAAACACAGATGGAAAAAGTTGGGTGACTGATGTCTACAGTACCTCTTAGGAATAATACTCTGCTTCATTGAGCTTGTGACTTTTAGATAATGATGGACAGTGTATTTAAGAGTTAAACTATAGATTTGGCTATTGCAAACTTACTAGTTTTGAGTGTTTGAGAAAGTTATTTAACCTTCTAGAGCACTGGTTTCACATCCTTATGATGAAAGTAATAATAAAGCACTTTAGGATTAAATAATATGAAGCACTTTATTACCATAATTCTGGCATCTCAATGCATAGTAAAGATAGATATATTGATCATTTGCTGTAGACTATAGATGATATTTTACCTTGTTTTCTTTGAATACTAAATGTATTTTTGTGGAAATGGTTACACTGCTCAATTGGCATACAAAAATGTGGTCTCTTTTGTTGTTTTTAATAAGTAAATTTTTTGCCATGAGATGTAAATTCTTAGAGAGCAAAAATTGTTCTGGAGTCTACCTTTGCTTTTTAGCAGATTGAGAATGCATTTTGAAGTCTTTTTTTTTTTTCTTTTCATTTATGTTTCTCAGTATTGAGAAACAGAAAGCATTTGTACTTAAATTCAAAACTGAACTTTTTCTCCCCAGATAACCATGATGATTACAGAGACTTCTACTGTGACTCTGGCTCCCTTTGAGGATACATTGAGTCGGATGCTGTTTGGCTGGCAGCAGCAATTTTCATCATTTGAAAAGAAAAGTGAAACAAAACCGTCTTCCAATGGCACTGGGTCATCAGCCTCAAAACCTGTAGCTGATGCTTCAGATAACGTTAAAAAGAAACATACTAAGAAGACTGAGTAAATTTACCTTATATGAACTCTAGAAAGCAAAATTTTTTTTTCTTATCTACCTACCAGATTGTGATAATATTTCTGCGTGAATGATGTGAAATAAAGATTACATGTAAGGAATGGAGGTGAGAAAAAGAAAGAAATTCTTTCTGTGTCAGAGAGTCTAGCCCTTTCTGGATTGTAATTCTTGAATGTTAAGGGTTGTATAATGTGAATTTGTTTACTGATATAAAATATTCTGTTGTGATTATTTGAATAGATTAAATTGATAAAAGAGACTAGATTTTTTAAATGATAGAAAAAGTATACCTATCATTTCAAAAGAAGAAAAATTTTAAACTTTTAAAGAATTTAGAAATTTTCATACATATTTTTAATTTGAATGTTTTTGAGCTTTAGTTCAATGGAATTAAACATTTATTTCACATTACCATTATCGTTGCTAAGTATAGCAAACAATTCCTATTTAATTTGTAACACTGGGTAAACTTTTCCTAAAAAACACTTCATATATTATAAATGTAAATAAATTGCTAGTTTATATTACAGATGTAAACATTGTCTTTATTGCCCATGTTAGATGAAAAATACTTGCAGTTTTACTTAGTTTTGTTTCTGGTAGTACTTTTCAGTGAGTACAGAATATTAGCATGAGTTTTAATCTGAAGTTTTCTCATGCCCTTGTTTTTCTAAAAAAAAATTTTATTTTTATCCTCCAAAAAAATCAGGATTGTAATTCTTCATACATTAATGCATCCATGTTTTATTGTGTAATTTTCATTTAGCTTATTTCCCTCTGCCCACCTTAAAACACACTTGTTTTTAATGTAGTTAAGACAGTGTCAGCATTTCACATATGCTTTCTTTTCTTAGTAAGTCTGAATACTTTAGTGGTAGTTATCTTAGTGATCCAACAGAAAGTATTATCTGAATTTAAGATTTTTCCCTTCCCTTTTAATCTTCTTTCTAGTAGCTATTTTTTCAATTTTCTAGTTGAATGTCTCTAGTTTAATGTCTAGTTTGTGTCCACTAGTTTGTGTATGCTATATTATTTTTCAATCTACACTTTCATATGTTTTTATTTTAAGTGAAAACTACCTTCATGTGAAAATACTTGGCTGTAATGAGAATTGTTTTTGGATATTTGATAATAACCAGCTAACTGAGAAAGAGCAGAGAAAGCAAAACTTCCTACTATGTTAGACCATTTGAATGAAGAACAGTGGCATTAAATCAGGTTACTTATTGGCGGAATAAAAAGGAAACAAGAAAAGGTATTAATTTGATGTTAGATTTTTTTTGCTTTTTAAGTCCAGATAAAACATTAGACCTCTATGACATTTCTTCTAACAGAACTATGAACCTGCTACCTGTATCAGGTATGTGGATGGCTTTTAGACACCCAAATCACATTCAAGTTAGAAATTTTTTTTCTTTTAAAAAATTTTTAAATAAATACAAACAGTAGCGGGTAATATACTTATTAAGGAAAAGAAAAAGACAGTAGGGTTAGCAGGAGGCTTTTAATAGTCTGGGGATGCTAAGAAGTTTTAATATTGTGACATAAACCAGTAAATATATAAGTGATTGTATTATATTTAATACACTCATAGGTAAAAACTTCAAAATGAGCATGTTAATTATTGAATAGTTTCAAAGTTTGGGTTTAATTGTTGAAATGATAGGGATTTTTTTATGCCTGTATGATAAGATATTTATTAAAATAACTTATTTAGCACAAATGAAAATGTTATTTTTTTTTTTTGAGATTTATTTATTTGAAAGAGTTACACACAGAGAGAAGGAGAGGCAGGGAGAGAGAGAGGTCTTCCATCCACTGGTTCATTCCCCAGTTGGCCGCAATGGCCGGAGCTCTGAAATCAGGAGCCAGGAGCCTCATCCAGGTCTTCCCACATGGATGCAGGGGCCCAAGGACTTGGGCCATCTTCAACTGCTTTCCAAGGCCATAGCAGAGAGCTGGCTAGGAAGTGGAGCAGCCGGGACATGAACCGGTGCCCATATGGGATGCTGGTGCTGCAGGTGGTGGCCTTACCCACTATGCCACAGCACCGGCCCTGAAATGTTATTTTTATGTTTTTTTCTTTTTTCTTGAAATTGGACTTCAGAACTCCTTTGGTGTTTTGACTATTGTAGTATATATTCCATGATGACTGTCCAAATGGGACACTAGTATAAACTTTGTTTATCTACCCAAGTATTATAGAACTCTTAGTACAAGGCTCTTAGATGGAAGCTGTACTTGAGGACATGACTTAGGCCTGAAATCCTCTAACTGGTATGTCAGACTGCCTGAAGACTTAGCTAAGGTTTGTGAATGTTAGCCTGCAAGAGGCCTTAAGGCATGCTTCACATGACCAGTCAGATGTGGCACTGAGAAAGTCAAAACTTTGTAGAGTTTCTTAAAAAAAAAAAAAAAAATAGGAGACAAGGAGCTAGCAAGAACATGGGCCAACATCTCAGCTGATCTCACCCTGTAGTAAAATGTGTCCAGATGAATATATTATTTATCAGATTTTCACTCATCCTTGCTGAAAGAGCACTTGAGTAAGGGCTGGAAAGAGACCATATGTGTGGATTTCAAATTTTTTTTGGCATTAAAAAACTTAATTCTATTTTTCATGAACTTACTGAAGTATCATGTGGGGTAGGTGGTCTTCAGCAGAAATGCCAGCCTCTCTATGGGCAGAGACCAAAATGTAGAGAGATGGGAGAAAGGAAACCCTCATTGGTGTATTTTTTGTCTATTCCTTCAAGCACAGATACCAATTCATTAAAATCTATTTCAAATCACAAATTAATTGCCTGAGTTGGAATGTTGGAGATGGAATCATGTGATCTAGAATGCTCTCTCTCCCCCTATGCAAAGCCTTTTATAGTGTTTGCCCCCAGGTATGATTCCATCTTTGGTGATACACATTCATTACAAATATTGATTAGGGTCAGGTGTTGTTCTAGGATCAAGAGAAAACAAGAAAAAGGCCAGCTCTCTTGGAGTTTATATTAAGTGGTTGAAAGTAGACAAATGTGTTCCTGTGATAATAAAGATATGAATAAATATTAAGCAAGTTATGAGGATAGAAAGTGAGGAGGGTGGGGGTGTTTGCCAAAATAGAATTGTTAGGACTTTTTGTAAAAATTGCATTTTAGCAGAGACCTGAAGAACTCAAATGAACAGGCCATGTAAACATCTGGGTAAGTATAAAGATCATATTGTTCCTTCATATACTTGATTTATTTATATTTTTCCTCCAAAATTAATAAATTGTTTTTCTAAGTACAATTTCACTGTGTAAGGCCTAAATGAAAGATCTCCGCGAGTGAGATCTCAGTGGAAAGAACAAGCCTAAGTGAGAGAGAGAGAGAGACAGAGAGAAAGGTCTTCCTTTTGCCGTTGGTTTACCCTCCAATGGCTGCCACGGCTGGTGCGCTGCGGTCCGCGCACTGCGCTGATCCAAAGGCAGGAGCCAGGTGCTTCTGGTCTCCCATGAGGTGCAGGGCCCAAGCACTTGGGCCATCCTCCACTGCCTTCCCAGGCCACAGCGGAGAGCTGGCCTGGAAAAGGGGCAACCAGGAAAGAATCCGGCGCCCCGACCAGGACTAGAACCCGGTGTGCCGGCGCCACTAGATGGAGGATTAGCCTATTGAGCCGTGGCGCCGGCCAACTGTGTAGGTTTTAATAGACATTTTTTCACAGAATTTATTTTTAACATTTTTCTCATTTGAGGTAAAGTTTACATATAATAAAGTGTACAAATTACAAGTATGCATATTCTTATTTTTTAACTTATTTAATAAATATAAATTTCCAAAGTACAACTTTTATATTATAGCAGCTTATTCCCCCCAATAACCACCCTCCCACCAGCAACCATCCCATCCCCACTCCCTCTCCCATCTCATTCTTCATAAAGATTAATTTTCAATTATCTTTATATACAGAAGATCAATTTAGTATATACTAAGTAAAGAATTCAACAGTTTGTACCCACATAGAAACACAAAGTATAAAGTACTGTTTGAGCACTAGTTATACCGTTAATTCACATAGTACAACACATTAAAGACAGAGATCCTACATGGGGAGTAAGTGCACAGTGACTCCCGTTGTTGATTTAACAATTGACACTCTTATTTATGACGTCAGTAATCACCCGAAGCTCTTGTTATGAACTGCCAGGGCTATGGAAGCCTCTTGAATTTGCCAACTCCGATGTTATTTAGACAAGGCCATAGTCAAAGTGGAAGTTCTTTCCTCCCTTCAGAGAAAGGTACCTCCTTCTTTGATGGCCCGTTCTTTCCACTGGGATCTCACTCGTGGAGATCTTTCATTTAGGTCATTTTTTTTTTTTTTGGTGGAGTGTCGGTTTTCCATGCCCGAAATACTCTCATGGGCTCTTCAGCCAGATCCGAATGCCTTAAGGGCTGATTCTGAGGCCAGAGTGCTGTTTAGGACTGGTGCCATTCTATGAGTCTGCTGTGTATCCCGCTTCCCATGTTGGATCGTTCTCTCCTTTTAAATTCTATTAATTAGTATTAGCAGACACTAGTCTTGTTTATGTGATCCCTTTGACTCTTAATCCTATCATTATGATCAATTATGAACTGAAAATGATCACTTGGACTAGTGAGATGGCATTGGTATATGCCACTCTGATGGAATTGAATTGGAATCCCTGGCACGTTTCTAACTCTACCGTTAGGGGTAAGTCTAATTGAGCATGTGCCGAACTGTACATCTCCCCCCTCTCTTATTCCCACTCTTATATTTAACAGGGATCAATTTTCAGTTAAATTTAAACACGTAAGAATAATTGTGTGTTAATTAAAGAGTTCAACCAATGGTATTAAGTAGAACAAAACAATACTAAAAAGAATAAAGTATTAAGTTGTTCCTTGACAGTCAGGACAAGGGCTGATAAAGTCATTGCTTCTCATAGTGTCCACTTCACTTCATCAGATTTCCTTTAAGGTGCTCAGTTAGTTGTCACCAATCAGGGAGAACAAATGATATTTAACCTTTGGGACTGGCTTATTTCACTCAGCATAATGTTTTCCAGATTCCTCCATTTTTGTTGCAAATGACCGGATTTCATTGTGTTTTTTTTTTTTTTTTTACTACTGTATAGTATTCTATAGAGTACATATCCCATAATTTCTTTATCCAGTCTACTCTTGATGGGCATTTAGGTTAGTTCCAGGTCTTAGCTATTGTGAATTGAGCTGCAATAAACATTGAGGTGCAGACAGCTCTTTTATTTGCCAATTTAATTTCCTTTGGGTAAATTCCAAGGAGTGGGATGACTGGGTTGTATGGTAGGGTTATATTCAGGTTTCTGAGGCCTCTTCAAACTCACTTCCATAGTGTCTTAACCAGTTTGCATTCCCACCAACAGTGGGTTAGTGTCCCTTTTCCCCCACATCCTCGCCAGCATCTGTTGTTGTTAGATTTCTGTGTGTAAGCCATTCTAACCGGGGTGAGGTGAAACCTCATTGTGGTTTTGATTTGCATTTCCCTGATTGCTAGTGATCCTGAACATTTTTTCATGTGTCTGTTGGCCATTTGGATTTCCTCTTTTGAAAACTGTCTGTTAAGGTCCTTGGCCCATCTCTTAAGTGGGTTGTTTGTTTTGTTGTTGTAGAGTTTCTTGATCTCTTTGAAGATTCTGTTTATTAATTCTTTATCGGTTGTATAGTTTGCAAATATTTTTTCCCATTCTGTTGGTTTCCTCTTCATTTTCCTGACTGTTTCTTTTGCAGTACAGAAACTTCTCAATTGGATGTAATCCCAATAGTTAATTTTGGCTTTGACTGCCTGTGCCTCCAGGGTCTTTTCCAGGAAGTCTTTGCCTGTGTCTATATCTTGCAGGGTTTCTCTGGTGTTCTCTAATTTGATGGTGTTGGGTCATAGATTTAGATTTCTAATCCATGTTGAGTGAATTTTTGTGTAAGTTGTAAGGTGGGGGTCTTGCTTCATGCTTCTGCATTTCTGTGGAAATCCAGTTTTCCCAGTACCATTTGTTGAAGAGACTGTGCTTGTTCCAGGAATTGGTTTTAGATCCTTGATCAAATGTAAGTTGGCTGTAGATGTTTGGATTGATTTCTGGTGTTTCTATTCTGTTCCATGGGTCTGTCCATCTATTTTTTACCAGTACCATGCTGTTTTGATTATAATGCCCTTTAGTGTGTCCTGAAATCTGGTATTGTGATGTCTCTGGCTTTGTTTTTGTTGTACAAGATTGCTTTAGCTATTCGAGGTCTCCTGTGCCTCCATATGAATTTCAGCATCATTTTTTTCCAGATCTGAGAAGAATGTCTTTGGTATTTTGATTGGTATTGCATTGAATCTGTAAACTGCTTTCAGAAGAATATTCATTTTGATGATATTGATTCTTCCAATCCATGAGCATGGAAGATTTTTCCACTTTTTTGTACCTTCTTCTTTTTCTTTCTTTAATGTTTTGTAATTCTCATCGTAGAAATCTTTGACATCCTTGGTTTATTTTATACCAAGGTATTTGATTTTTTTTTTTTGTAGCTCTTGTAAATGGGATTGACTTAGCAGTTCTTTCTCAGCTGTGGCATTGCCTGTGTATGCAAAGGCTGTTGATTTTTGTGCATTAGTTTTATATCCTACTATTTTGCCAGACTCCTCTATGAGTTCCAGTAGTCTCTTAGTAGAGTTCTTTGGATCCCCTAAATAAAGAACCATATCATCTGCAAAGAGGGATAGTCTGACTTCTTCCTTGTCAATTTGTATCCCTTTGATTTCTTTTTCTTGCCTAATGGCTCTGGCTAAAACTTCCAGTACTATATTGACTAGCAGTGGTGAGAGTGGGCATCCCTGTCTGGTACCAGATCTCAGTGGGAATGCTTCCAACTTTTCTCCATTCAGTAGGACACTGGCTGTGGGTTTTTCTTAAATTGATTTGATTGTATTGAAGAATGTTCCTTCTATACCCAATTTGCTTAGAGTTTTCATCATGAAAGGGTGTTGTGTTTTATCAAATGCTTTCTCTGCATCTATTGAGATAATCATATGGTTTTTGTTCTTCAGTTTGTTAATGTGGTATATCACATTGATTGATTTGCGAATGTTAACCATCCCTGCATACCAGGGATAAATCCCACTTGGTCTGGGTGAATGATCTTTCTGATGTGCTATTGGATTGGATTGGCTAGAATTTTGATGAGGATTTCTGCGTCTTTGTTCATCAGGGAAATTGGTAGGCAGTTCTTTTTCTCTGCTGCATCTTTTTCAGTTTTAGGAATTAAGGTGATGCTGGCTTCATAGGAAGAATTTGGGAGGATTCCCTCCCTTTCAGTTATTTTGAATAACTTGAGAAGAATTGGAGTTAGTTCTTCTTTAAATGTCTGGTAGAATTGAGCAGTGAAGCCATCTAGTCCTGGGTTTTTCTTTGTTGATACGGGGGAGGGTCTTTATCATTGATTGAGTTTCTGTATTGGTCATGGGTCTGTTTAGGTTTTCTATGTCTTCCTGGTTTAATTTAGGTAAGTTGTATGTGTCCAGGAATCTATCCATTTCTGATAGGTTTCTCTGTTTGCTGGCATACAATTCTTTGTAGTATTTTTTTTAAAATATTTATTTATTTATTTGAAAGTCAGAGTTACACAGAGAGAGGAGAGGCAGAGAGAGAGAGAGAGAGAGAGAGAATGTCTTCCATCCACTGGTTCACTCTCCAGATGGCCGCAACAGCCCGAGCTTTGCCAATCCGAAGCCAGGAGCTGGGAGCTTCTTCCTGGTCTCCCACGTGGGTGCAGGAGCCCAAAGACTTGGGCCATCTTCTGCTATCCCAGGCCATAGCAGAGAGCTGGACAGGAAGTGGAGCAGCCGGGTCTCAAACAGGCGCCTATATGGGATGCCGGTGCTTCAGGCCAGGGTGTTAACCCACTGCGCCACAGCACCAGCCCCCTCTTCATAGTAATTTCTGATGACTCTTTTTATTTCTATGGTATCTGTTGTTACATTCCCTTTTTCATCTCTGATTTTATTGATTTGGGTCTTTTCTTTTTTTAGTTAGTCTGGTCAGTGGTGTGTCAATTTTGTTTATTTTTTCAAAAAACCATCTCTTCGTTTACTGATCTTTTGTAATGTTTTTTTTTATTATTCAATTCTGTTGATTTCTTCTCTAATTTTAATTATTTCTCTTCTCCTACTACTTTTGGGTCTGGTTTTCTGCAGTTTTTCTAGATCCTTGAGATGCATTGATAGCTCATTTATTTGGTGCCTTTCCGATTTCTTGATGTTGGCACCTATTGCTGT